TGTGACACAGGCGCCACTCACACAGAGGACCTTGTCAAATGCAAAATCACACACAGCCATCAGCTGGGCCACACACCATCTAGCTTGCTATGACATGCAACCTTTCTCCTCTCTATTGTTCACTCTTTTGTCGAAACAATAAAATGAAAAGCGTGCATCGGACTTGGATGGTACCCAAATGCCCAGCATTCCCAGCCAGACGTGAACGATGGGGCATTACCAGAGCGATTAGCGGCAGCAAATTCAATTAATCTTGACAAATCTCTGCTGAGGCAGAACTGAAGAGAGTGACGCGCCCCCCTCTCCTGGTAATTAAAAGTGGCCAAGTTGAGTGGCGTGTGGTGACTAGGTTTTGGGATGAACAGTTCCAGCACAGAGTCTTAATGTGTCAGGTCGTATTTAGTTTGTCAGACAAGTGCAAATACAAAGAAAATCCCAGATTGTTAGCTGTGTGCGCACACACGTGTGCTTACCTGTTTGCCAGAGTTTCTCCAGTTAAGGACAAGAGTTATTGGTTCTATTTGTCTCAGAAAGGTGGGACATTTAATCACAGATTGATTCCCATCCAATTCTCAAAACAGTACCCTCTCTCATATGCAATCAAAAAAGTTTGAACAAACACAGGGAGCTATAGTGCAAGTCAACAACTATTTAATAAGCACTTTTATTGCTAGTTGGAGAGCAGGCAAACTCTTTTGAACAGTCAGAGGGAAGGCAAGGTCATCTTGCATGAGGACAAGGAAAAACACAAAACTTTGCTACAGCACAGCCTCAGAAGGGAGCTACAAGCATGCCATTGAAGCTGGTCTAACATAGCCTGGTAGACTGGGGAGCAGAGGGTAGAAAACACCTGTTTCATTGAAAAGAGCTTTGAAGAAAATACTTACTCTAAAGAATAGTCCTCAATGGAAGAAACATAACTGCTTATCTCTGACAGAGGCCACAACCTGACTAAAGAATGTATCTCAAAATGCAAACTTGGAGCCTAAAAGCACTGAGCAGATAAAAGAAGGAGACAGAGATCAGTGTTGGAATAGTTGCATTTGCGGACTTCTCTCATCTGTAAAAAAAGAAACAGGTCAACAAAACAAATGGAGATAGTGGAAGTAATAGAACTGAATGGAATAATAAGACGCTATGGCAGCTTAATGGACCGGAGACAACAGAGGAAGAATGAAAGCTAAAAGATGATGAATGGTAATTTAAGACTTTGGAGTGCGCTGAAAGTTAAAGTTTGAGTTAAAGATTGAAAGTAATAAAAAGTGAAAAGCAGAAAACAGAATAAAGCAAATATATGAAAATAAGCCATGCTTACTGTGGAAGGTAAGATAGAGCAAATGAGGAAAAAAAAAAGTTAGCTGCTTGATGTGGTCTAAGTCTTGCGTTCCACCCAACATCTGCACCTGAGGAAAAATAGAGACAATAATCCCATCCCCTTTCCAGATAAATTAAAGTGCAACACACACCCCTTATGGATGGATGTCCTTTGGTTTCCTTCCATGACTCCAGCTCCCACAAACAACCCACCATCACCTCCTGTACCTCAATGCTGATTTTGCCCAGTGGAGAGAAGCACTACTGCTCCTCCCCTCTGGACAGGTAGTCCTGCACACTGAGAGGATCAGTGCTGAGAGTAATAATACATGAGAAGGGACGGGAGACTGAGAGAAGATTTTCACATGAGCGAGGATCAACACAACACCATACAATCCTTGCTGTGCATGCTCCTTTGGCCGCACGAGTGTGTTCATGAGGAAGGTTCAGGAGAGTGAAAGGCAGCCATTGTGTGCCTCCGTGTTCTAAGTATGAGGCACACGCGTGTTTGTGTGTGCAGGCATCTATGCGGGTCACACCTGCCACAGACTTTTGAGCAGTGCAGCAAGAAAGTCAGCCGTTACCATGGGGACACTGAAACGTGTGGTGCCGTGGGTCAGGTGCTCTAAAATAAGCTCTTTGTTGTTTGTGTTATCATGCCTTTTGTGTGGTTTGGTATACACACAACACCCCCTGCCTCGAAATCTCACTGTGCTCAATTTTAATTTTTATTGGAAATCAGAGGGACACCAAAGGTGTTTGGCACCAGATAAAGGTAGTAGCATGCCTCTGGGTTAATCAGTGCATGAGCGCGTGGAAGTGTGTGTTACACTGCTGTGATTTCCAATGAGGGCTGATCCCGTGTTTGCAGTGGGTGTGTGTGAAGTGCTTATCGGACCCTGTGTTTGTGATGCATCCTCCCCCATGTGAAAATCACCTTCAGCTTACTGGTGCGTCACTCTGTCGATGGAAGAAAAAAAGGTTTAGTGCTTGGTAATTGTGTGTGTTTGAGCGGTGTGTTAGAGAGTAAGAAGAGACAGAGACAGAGGATGAATGTATGTTTTGTTTTGTCTTGATTGTATCGAGAAAGTCCAGAGAGAACAAGTGAGTGTGAGAGTTATGTCTTTTCTTGTTTTTGGTAGTTGAAGAGGGATTAAGAGGTTCAGGTCAAGGAGAGAGAGGGATGCAAAGGGTGTTGAATGGGTTGAAGGGGGTGGAGGGGGGGTGGGGAGGCAGAGTCTCAGTACTCACTGTAGGGAACACACTCATACTGGATCTCCAAATACTTGTAGGTCCCCGGGCAGGGGTCTGGGAACACATCTGACCCGGCAACCACCACACACTGAGTGCGATTATTACACCTGCATGATGACACAGACGAGGGGAGGCAGGGAGAGAGGAGAGAGAAGGGGGTGGTAAGAGCAAATTGTGAGTGCCGTTGCAAGAAAGACAAAGACTGTATGTGTATATATATATTTACATAAATAAATATATATATGCATACATACACATGTATATAGCTTCAGGTTCTGAGAGACAGAGGGAAAGGTAGGGAAGAGAGTAATTTCACACAACACTTGATCATGTGACAGCTGTACTCAAGGGGGGGGGGGGGGAAACAGGCAGAGAGGGAGAATGGAATGGGGTGAAAGGAGAAGGATCAAGGATAGAGTAGCAAGTAGGGAGGGAGGAGGCAGAGAGAGTCTGAGTGACGTAAGAGCCTCCCTCCTGGGGGATTGTGAGTGGGAGCAATTAGAGGTGAGAGAACAGGGAAGGGCGAAGGGGGTTGGTGAAGTAAATACTCTACACAACACACACTCTGAATAACATTTATATACGCATTGCCTCTCCATCTAAACCGCATTTCAGTATGCCTTCTCGTGTACGCACACCATGAGCAACACATACACACGGAAGGGAATATACTCATCTGTGTGCGCTCACTCATTCTCAACATAAAATCCTTTTCTATCCAGCTTTGAGCGTTTCCCCCAAGTGTGGGCTTTTTCTCCCTTCATATCTTAAATCTCTGCTGCACTCACTCTATCATCCCATCATTTCCAGCAGTCTCTCTTTTTCCTTTACTCCCTCAATGCTCTCTCCATCTCCTGCTGCTTCCCTTGCTCTCCAGAGCTCTTCTCGAACTAGTACCATGTGCTTCCATTACTTGTGAGATGGATTGCTGGGAGAAGGTTCTTATTGATTTCAACTCACTGGGAGAATATGCTGAGCGTAGACATGGAGGGCAACAGTAGGAAGCCTCTTAAATATTTCTTCAGAATTTGCATCATCAAGTACACACAACCAGTTACACACATACATAAATCTTTTGGCAAAATGCAGTGGTGTGAGGCATTGAACATAATATCAGTTTATTAACCTTGAAAGAAAAACTCATTTATTATTTGCTTACTACAAGAATTGAACTTATTCCAAATCTCTACAGAATGCACAATATCTTAAGATATACAGAATATACAAAAGAGAGGAAAAACTGCTAATTCTGCAGGGATTATGCTGTGAAAACAGATCTAATTTCCTCTCTCAATAGCACTGTGACTGAAAAAACAAATGTGGAAGATCTAAACAGATCAATAGTTACCTCTGTGACATTATCTTGAAGGCATCAGGCAGGTAGCACTGCACATTCTCCATCTGGAAGGGGTCTGCATCACAGATCTTGTCATCAGTCCGGCCGTAGTTGGCTGTTTCAATCATGATAACATCGCTTCCAGGGCAGCGCAACTCGATCGGGTAGCCTTCACAAGCAAGCTCACGGCGCATCAAGCCAAAGGGCATCATTGACCGGCTCAGAGCTAAAGCGAAAAGAAAGAGATGGATAAAATGATTGATTATTCAATGAGCCTTAATACTTCTAAGAAGTACGTACTTTATTATTAAACTTAATCATAAATCTAGTGTTTTGACATTAGTAAGTAAAAGGAGACTCCATTATTCCTACTATCCGTTTATAAAAACAAATATTCAATTATTAACTCGCTTTCAATTGAGTAGTCACTGAGTTGGAATATTTCAGAATGGTGCAGCATTGCTATTCAGTATCAACATTGAAATATGAGAGATCCCATATTGGTTCATAGGATTTGCAGCCAAACCGGCTTCTCCAATGAGAGATTGCTACACTTGTGAAACAAACTGTGAGCATTTCAAATGTTAACAAACTCCTACACACAACCATGTGAAGTCTGCTAATGCTCTCCTCTCACAAGAGAAGAACAGTGTGTTTCTTGCACCTTTTTTTCTGTTCTACCTTAAAATGGAACCAAAACCAAACATGAGAGGAATTAATGGTGAAACAAACAAAGAAAAAAATATGACTACTACTACAACTACTACAACCTATATTAATAATACTAAATACGACTATTACTACTACTACTACTACTATTATTACTACTACTAATAATAAAAATAATACAGAACAATTTGATCAGCATCTTAGCAAACTTTGACCTCTGTTGTTTCCATCATTTGCATAGCCACTGCAGGTAATCTGTGCTCTGAGATGTATGTCAATGTACTACTGTGGCTTTGCGAAGAGAAAGGTCAACAGGGACAATGAGGTACACAGGGTTAATCGCTGAGCCAGACTGGGAGGCATGACAGAGGGCAGGTAAGAGGGGCTGAGAGAGACACTCGTCTCTCAAGCTCTCTCCATAAATGCATATATTTCCAACAGCTTCCACATCATCTTCAGCAAAGGTAGATGGTTATGGCTTTTGAGCAGCTTTACTGCAGCTGGATGAAGGAGAGAGTGAGTGATACAAGGTTGAAAGGCATACACTTTTTCTTGTGTTGTGTCTCATGATAGAACAATCATGAGAGCTACTTCCCATGGTCCTGAAATGACAAAACCTCATTGGGAGGATAATGCCCCAAGAGATGGATTCTTATCATGAATTTAGGTGTGGAACTGTCCGCTGTGCTGAAGGGCCAGAGGGCTTTGTCAAAGGTATTTTTGCAGTGTAAATAGGGAGGACATTGGTAGTGGGACTGGTAGTGGGACTGGTAGTGGGACTGGTAGTTGGTATACTATCAAATCCAGACAGAGAGGCCTAGCTCTACTTAAACTGGGTGGGGTGTTTTTAATAAACTGAGCCTTTCATTGCATAGCACCTCCCCCTGCCAGAATGGCTCAGAAGCAGACAAGGGCACGAGTCAGTCTCACTGCCCACCTAATGTTAAAACAGTCGAGCTAGTTTCCCATCCTGACACGAAGCAATAACTACTTAAGTTTCAAACGCCATCCATTCAGGGGTGGCATACTATCTGGGTCAATGTCAATGTCAGTCATTTCAGACATGAAACCGTGCAACATGATTCACTGCCACTGGACTTGCTCATATATCTAAATGCCATTCATTTATGCATCAGGGACATCAGTTCAGTTGTGTAACTGAAGCCATTAAGGCTGAATGACTTAGCACGGAAAGACTACAGATCTTTTATGCCTCGCCAGCATGCAGTGCCAGTGCCGAATCACAAAGGCCTAGATGCAAAATCGCATACTAATTAAAGCACATGGAGATGCAAACAGCAGGCGAGGCCAGACGAACAAGTCCACACTCAAATGTAAAAAACCCACACAAGCATATTAGCACATACGCAGACAAAACGTAAGTGTGCATGTTCACAGTCAAGCACACAAAAACTCGCACACATACAAGTATCCACACATAGCAGTTTCTGGTGTCACAGTGGGATTACAATGAGTAGTGCCAGTGTGTGGCCTTGTTCTCTTAACCACCCTGCAGTGTATTTACACAGCAGTGTACAGCTGGCCAGTGATTAGAGCCATACATTGTGCCAAGAGGAGAGTACCATTGAGGGGGTCACCAGCAGAAATTGCACTTAGTCGTTTTATACTTTAGAATAGATCAACATATCAGTAACACTGATACACATTAGAGGTATAGATCAGACTTTAACCCTATTATGTCAGCCGTATCATATGTGATACATACAGGTTCAGAAATGTTTTGCATCTGAGACCTTTTGCATAATTTAATTGTGAAAACTTTGTTCAAAACCCTGTTGTACACAATCAGATATACCTGATAACAGTGGGCACAAGAATATGCGACAATCATTTTGACTTGTTTAATTGTATAATTTTACATATTTTGTTAAAGAAACATTTATTTTTTTTCGTTGATCAGGCTTTAAAGGGTTAAATGTGCTTAATATGCCAATCACAGTAAACCTGGTTTACAACTCGGACTGTTCCAATGCCCCATTAGCACCTGGAGTGGTTCTAAAAAGACATTTCTACTTGTCCATCTATTTAGTTTTATATGTACATTATAAATTAATTCATTCATATATTTCAATGCAGGATTGAACTTCCATCATGTTCCATCATTGCATTCAAATATAACAATCAATCCTCCGGGCAGATTATCTCCTGGGGTGTATTGTTTAGACAGTGACAATCCAGGGACATTTTTTATTTAATCATTTGAGACTATAATAATTACAAATTCACTTTGGCAAAAAGGCTAAAACAAGACACAGGAAATGAAGAATATATTAAGTCCTAATGATGTATTCCTTGTTATAAAAAAAATAACAAGGTTGGATTTATGAAGTGTATTTTATAAATTGAAATCCATTATTGTTTTCTTGTTCTGGTTCAGCAGTTAGAGCGTATATTTAGCCATAATTGAGCACATCCATTACTAAGCCAGAATATTTTAAAGGTGACAGCTACCAAAATAAGTAGCTGATTTCTGTTACTGCTTGCAAATCTCTGCTTCCACCATACTGTATCCTGTTTCACACCTAAATATTCCACAAAAATACAAACACCTTTCACAAGTTGGAGGACTAAATGGAATTTAGGGTGGATTTCACACTATAAATATAGACGGGTGCCCCTCAACGTTTATAAAGAGATTTCTGAATGGTGTATTCATACACAAAGAGGGAACTCAACTTGAGAAATGTGTGTGTGGTGTATGTGTGTGGTCAGTGTCAGCCAGATGGCCTGAGGCCTAGCTGGAGCTACGACCAGCTCTGAGCTGAGATGAGATGAGCAGCGGATAAGCTTGGACAGGCCATGGGCTACAATTGTCCTTCACTCTGCAGGAATCCATTAAGGTCTCAGAGTCACTTTAACTGGCAAAGACAGACACAGACACACATAAACACCCATGGCCATTTAGTTTAGCCTGTCAGACTCATAATCACTGAATGACTAAATGTCTTTCTCAGTAGCAGCCAAACAGATAGGTAGATGCAATACTCTTATGATGAGGTTAATGACTCATTTTTAATGGTATAGGAAACAATTTATATTTTTCATCTAGGAGAAATTGTTACCAGTTATCACAAAGCCCGATAAAGACTTGAGCAAATTGAATACAGTAGTTATGCAAGCTCATTTACATGGACGTGGTGATGTCGTATAGAGAGAGGTCACATGCACCACTGAAAGGAGCCTGGTGTCACTTCAGGGCAGCTGGTGTGCAGGGCTGAAAAATAAGCTCTATATAAATTAAGAGCAAGAGGAACAACTGATTGGATTTGATGATCACATAGTAATTAAAGCCTGAGGGTGGATAGATGCTTGGAACTAAAAAAGGAATGTTATTTTGCACAAGCCAGACAATTTTTACTAATTTGTCTTTTTGCAAGTCTGATTTTCCAAGGGTTAGTCTGAAACATTACAAAATGCAGATACTTGACAGGTTCTGAAAATAAATTTGGCACTGCATGTCAAGACATGCTATTCACAGCATGAATATACAAAGATTTGTCTTGGTCAAAACTTGTTCCTATCATTATGCTTTCCAACATCAAAACACCTTGATATTAACAAAGTGCTTTGACAATGTAACTTGTGTAATGTAAGACTGTTTCTCCTGAAGCTCTATAGTATGACTTCTCAAAAAATAACTGAGTGAAATGGGTTGGCCTGGCAGGTTGCCAGCAACTTTTCAATTGAGTCACAAAAGGGGATTATACATTCGGGACTCTGTGGCCCTGTGGTGGACCTGCTAACTGGCAGACTGTCTTTTTAGGGCCCAAAATGTCATCAGCACTCCTAAGTTCCTATTTCTATTTCAGCAATTATGCCTTAATGCCAACCATTAGCACAACACAGAAGCATACTGCCAGAGAGCATTTTTATTGGTAGCGGAGAAACATATCATACTGCAGAAAAGGTAGGATTCATGTTATTTGATCTTTAGAATAAACTTTAAGTCAAGGCACTTGAGTTAATAGGCAATTATCTTCTTTTTGCCCGCATAGAAGTGAAATATTAAAATTGTACTGCATACATCTACATATACCCTCATCATTAGCACTGGCGAAAAGGGCTAACTCCCTCACGACTTCAGGCTTATCAGAAAAGCTGCAAGAAATAACAAGTAATTTTACAGTCACTGGACAGAACTGAGAGGTCTCAGTGATGGGAATCCCTCCCTGGCTGAGAATCAAACCGACCACTTTCTACAGCACTTTATCAGCTTAGCAGTGCATCTTAGCAAATCACTTAGCACTCAGATTTAGTGTAATGACTTGCTGGAGCACGGCCTGTCACCAAAGACAAGCCGAGGGGATGCGGTCAGAACTGTCAGAATCAGGCAGCCTTCAAGCTGAGAAGTTGTGACAAAGTGACACTCTGTGACAAACCTAAAGGCCTAACATGACTGCGCGAGTGCTGGGAGCCGTGTGGACTTGGTGTTCTGGTGTGTGTGTGGATGTGCACGTGTCTGTGCGTATGGAGGGGAAGGGTGTAGCACTGGCCTCAAAGCCAGGACAGTATCTCATCTCTGACTCCTCTGCCTGT